ACAGAAGAGATTTTATAGAATAAGGGTAATAAACGCGCACACAGTCCACCTGATTGTAAGTGGATGCTTTGACCCTTAGACATCTACACCTATCCTCGATTAAGAATCAAAATGCAGATGCGTTTTCATCCGTGAGGACTTAGATGGAATGCCTCGTTTCCAGTAAAAAGATTGTCCGGTTCTCTACACTGACCATACAGAACAGCAGCATTAAGCTGCTATTTCACGCTGGTATTCTGTGAGAGCGTGGTCTTTCTCCGGTAGAGCCGACCCATTCTTGCTACAACCATAAAATAGCTGCAACAAGGCTGGCTAAACCACGTAAAATAGAGACCACAGGAATAGAATATAATAAGAATAGAATAGAGCCCAACAGAATGGTATAGTTCATAATTGACAAAGACGTCGCGTAACTTTAATGCAAAAAATCATACAGTCGAATTGTTAACCTCTTCCTTTTGGCGATGTCAGCTAAAATGTTACATAGAAAATAATACAATAGAGCGGAACAGAATTGAATAGAATAGATTAGAACAGGATAGAATAGGATATGATGGGATAGAATAGGACAGGATAGAGAGGATAGGATAGAATAGAATAGAATAATATTTATTCAATAAAGATTACACGTAATTCTTATTGAAAGACACTTCACCACTGGAAAACCATAACGAATACTTTAACATGAGTCATGCTATCATAACATAATCATAATCTCCGCAGCGGAACCCAATCTTATGCGAGTCATACTTAGTATACATACTTAGTAGATTTTTATGACGATTTAGGAAGTGCACAATACGTAAATTCTAAATTGAAGTCGTATTTCACGCGATAGAATTAATTTGCATATTTATTTGATCTATTGTATGTAAAATGAATTGAACTTTAGCCCCCAAAAAAGTTGGCGATAATGGTACGTCATTCAGTTATCTTGTTACATTTTTGGGGTAGAAAGTATAGTTCGTTTTAGTTTCTGTATAAGCTCAAGCAAGTTAACAACCACTTTAGTAAGTAAGTAAAATACATTTAGATTAAGTCATTTAATTTGTTCGAAATAAAAAGAAAATAGACGTAACTTTGTAGGAATTTTTAACATTACGTAATTTTTGGGTAATACATAGTAGTTGCATTTTATATACTAGAGCGGTAAACGAGGTATCAGTGACGGAGTACATAAGACTATTTCAGACACATCCTACATAACGTATGCTGTTATTACCTTTACCTAGAATAAGTCAAATAATTATTGATATCAATATTTAAGAAATAACTTTTTATAACCCTAGAGCATCAGTTTTTAAAAAAAGTTTTGAAAAAGTTGCCAACTCTCCACGTGTTATTGTACTCCTGTCTTATGGTTAGTGCGTATAGAATACTGGCTCTCTTACCCTTCAAAGTGGAATACAGAATGATATTTTTTATATAGGATAAGAGTGACAAACGAGCACACAGTCCACCTGATGGTAATTGGTTGCTGTGTCCACAGAGATCTACATCTATCGTCTATTACAAATCAAAATGCAGATGCGTTGTCACCCGTGAGGACTAAGATGGAATGCCTCATTTCCAGTAAAAAGGATCTCTGGTTCTCTAGAACCAGAGACGTTTTTAGATACGAAACAGCAGCGTTAAGCTGCTATTTTACGCTGGTATTCTGTGAGAGCGTGGTCCTTCCCCGGTCTAGCCGACCCATTCGTGCTACAACTATACTACTAATATAGCTGCAGGATGGCTCTACCACGTAAAAACTGCTTGGCAACAGATATTTCTGTTCCGTCCATCTATTGATAAGAAAGACAAAAGTTCTAACTCAGATGGACTATTATGCTCGACACACACGGCTAGTTAATCTGATCAGTTGAACTGACGTACATCCAAAACCTGACCGTGAGTGTGAAATCCTAAGTTGAAATTTGAAGCCAGAGAGGGGAAATGGTTTTGGCTTACATACGTTTGAACTTATCAGTTGAACTGACTGTGTGTGTTGATCATTAGATTAGAGAATTTAGTAGGTTGGAGGGCAACCACATAGTATCACATGTAATTGACACTGACGGTGTTTATTTTCCAGTGTTAAGGTTTAAATATTCACTAAATTACGTTTATTTTTTAACCTACAATTTCACTTTTATAGTTGTTCTCTCCTTCATTTTTTATATTTATTTTTTACTTATTACAATTTAGTTTGAGTTGGGAATCTTTAACAGTGGTGCCACGTGGCAGCTTTTGCTGTCGCACAGATGGGCCGGCTCGAACCGGAGTGGTACCACGACCTCACAGAATACGAAATTAAATGGAAGACTACCCCAGGAGTGTACCAGCATCCCTGAAGAATCCCTCGCTGAGCATCCACGCCCAAGCTACCCTAATTTTTCTGAGCGTGGGTGCTCAGGCTGCCCCACGTATTCTGGAGCGGGGGGGGGGGGCAACGTCAAGGCTGTCCAAGGGAACTTCTGTCAGCCATCTCTGCCATCTCTGCACAGGGTAGATGACTCACTGGCCCATGGCAAAGGAGAAAGCCGATCTACTAGGCTCTGGTTTTGCTTCCAACTCGACTCTATATGACAGGGGGAACACACCGCTGACCATCCCGAGGTGTGAGTGCTCCATGCAGGAAGTGCTGTTTATACAGCGCTTGGTGCGTAAAGCACTCCTCTCCCTGGACGTCAACAAGTCGAGTGGGTCTGGTGGAGTCCCACCTATTGTGCTGAAGACGTGTGCTCCGGAGTTGGCACCGGTTTTAACGCGTCTTTTCCGATACTCCTACTCCCTAGGCGTAGTCCCGAACTCATGGAAACAGCTTTAGTGGCGTGACAGCTTTGGTGCACCCGATCCCTAAAAAAGGCGACTGCTCAGATCCATCCAACTACAGGCCTATCGCTATCACCTCCTTGTTCTCCAAAGTAATGGAAACTTTTATTAACTACCAGCTCATGCGGTACCTTGAGGATCACCAGCTAATTAGTGACCGCCAGTACGGTTTCCGTCGAGGTCGCTCAGCTGGTGATCTTCTAGGTTACCTAACTCATAGATGGGCGGAGGCAGTGGGGTTCAAGGGGGAGGCGTTGGCCGTTAGCTTGGACATAGCGAAGGCCTTTTATCGGGTTTGGCACAAAGCGCTCTTTAGAAGCTCCCTTCCTATGGGCTTCCCGAGAAATTGTGCAATTTCATCACCAGTTTTCTTGCGGACCGGAACATCATGGTCGCAGTAGACGATGCATGCTCCGATTACAAGCCCATTAACGCTCGTGTTCCACAAGGCTGCGTGCTATCACCAACGCTGTTTCTTCGGCATATCAATTATATGTTGCAAACCGGTAACATTCATTGCTATGCAAACGACAGCACCGGTGATGCTTTATACACCGGCCGTGCCAATATTTCTCGGGAAAACATCACCGAGTACCCCGTACCGGGACAAACATGTGTCTGAAGTCGAGACTTTGTTGAACAATCGTCGGTGTCGACATATCGAGTGACGTGCAGTTTCGTGGTTACTTGGAAGAGAAGGCCAAATTGGCTTCTAAAAAGCTTGGCGTGCTCAGCAGAGCGGTACAATATTTCATGCCGGCACACCGTTTGCAACTTTACAAGGCGCAGGTTTGGCCTCACATAGAATACTGTTCCCATCTCTGGGCAGGGGCTCCTCAGTGCCAGCTACTTCCACTTGATCGCATTCAGCGCAGAGCGGTTCGAATTGTCGACGACCAGGTTCTTTCCGATCGGCTTGACTCACTGGCACTGCGTAGAGATGTTGCATCTCTTTGGGTATTTTATCGCATCTATCACGGGGAATGCTCTGAGGAATTCTTCGGACTAATTCCAGTCGCTCAATTTCACCATTGCACGTTGCGATAAAACTCGCAATACCATCCATACCATCTGGATGATTGGCGGTCCGCCACTGTGCGATTTAGAAGAAGTTTTCTTCCTCGCACAACTTCTTTGTGAAATCGATTACCACCAGCGATTGTTCCGGACCGATACGACTTAGGGACCTTCAAGAAAAGAGCCTACTCCTTTTTAAAAGGCCGGCAACGAATCAGCATTTCCCCTGGTGTTGTAGTTGTTCATGGCTGGCGGTAGTCACTTACCATTAGGTGAGCCGCATGCTCGTTTGCCCCCTTTCCTATATAAATAAATTTATAACTTGCAAGGTTATGAATTAAATGTCAAGGAGCACTATTATAGCTATGGTTTAAACTTCTATGGAGCTTAACCACAGAGTACCTTATTAAAATTGAGGAAGCTTGACACCTGTTTAGTTTATAGTTATTCGTTCCGAAGCGAGGCCTTATAACGGCAATTAATGTTTCATCAATTCATCATCAGTCCATGAGAAAAAAAAGCTTCCCAAGTTGAAATTATGTGGCGAGATCGCCACTCAGATAAGTTTTTGACAGGTACTTCTTTACTGCCTATGCCTAGAACTGAGTAATTTTTTTAAAGAATAAGGATAAACGAGCAAACAATCCACCTGATTGTAAGTGGATGCTTTAGCCCATAGACATCTACATCTATCCTCGATTTAGAATCTACTCCTAAGGGGTTGACAACGTATGCATAGATGGAATGCTTCGTTTCCAGTAAAAAGGGTCTCAGGTTCTCTACGCTCACCATACGAAACACAGCAGCATTGAGTTACTATTTTACGCTGCTTGAGTGAGAGCGCGGTCCTTCTCCGATGGAGCCGATCCATTCATGCGACAACCATAATATACATAACTTCTAGGTTGTTATTTACTACTCTCAGTGGCGTATTCAGTTTTAAAGCCATTCTGGGCTCCTAAAACTGACCTTATTTCTTACAATATAATAATATTTGAAGAAGTGTTAGTCTTACAAAACAAAAAAATAATAACAGTAGCAAGTGGAATTTCAATTGTAGAGTAAGAGTTATTTCCACACATAATTGTCCTCAACATGTAAATTAATGTTTGTGCAGTTATATTTACCATATTTTTTTATTAATATTTTATTACAATTCCTTTAAAGCCATGGATCCTGTCTTCGCTATGGAGCAGTCCCTGCTGTCTCACCAGCGCCAGATAAAGAACGCTATCGCCCCAGGAGACTCACCTATACAGAAATTCTATGAAGACAGTGTTATATTCATAACTGGAGGTTCCGGTTTTCTCGGGAAACTCCTTATCGAGAAACTTTTAAGGTACCTTAGTACTATATTAAACTGTAAAGTTAATTAGTAAAAACTAATTAAAAATTGATAAAATCTAAACAACTGCTTACGCTTTGATAGTTAACATCATTGTTACTATAGCATTTTTTAAATGTTTAAGTTAAGTTTAGTCTGGCTATATTTAAAATGGTTAAGTTAGTCATGAAATCATAATAAGAAATTTAAGTAGAATGGGAGAGCTTTGCTCAGAACTGAACTGTTACCAGCTTATCAAGAAGAAAAAGAAATCATCATTATAACTCAATAGCTTTTTTAAAGAAGTAAAGGTGACGCGAAACGAGCACCCAGTTCAACTGATTGTCAAACTTTAATTTTGGGGTTATATCCCTTACTACTTATATACTTTGGTTGTAAGTGAACCTTAGGCTAAAGTCATCAATTGACTCCAAAGTTATTCATAATCGACTCCAAAGTCATTCATAATCTACTTGAATTTGATTCACATATTATAACCGCAAAATTAAAGCTATATTAAAGGGCCAAGAAGTGAATTGCCATGCCTTTACAAGTAATTTACCATACTTTTAACAAATCAGAATTAAGTAGCGGACACATGGATGTCATATTTAAAAGTAGAGTCACACTTAAAACCTATTGAGCAAATGCCTCCTTTCATTACCGAGAGGGTTACGGATCAATCAGAATCATTTATTTCGTGGATCATAGTCGTCATATCACATATATGTCAGCTACATATATAATAAAGTTCAATTAAGCTTCTGTGAGCATACGAAGTATAATATTTTTTGCATATCAATTAAAGTAGGTGGTACCTAAAAATAACTGAATCAAACGCGAATGCAACTAATTCGGTCACATGCTGGTCCAGTACTCGTAGTGGCGGACTCCACTTGTCCTAGCTATATTTTGTTTTACACACATGCAGGTTATGACACTAAAACCTGAATTACTCAGCCTACTGGGAAATTTACGCTCTTTTTGCTTGATGTACTTTTTTTATAGGATAGGGTGACAAACGAGCACACAGACCACCTGATGGTAAGTGGTTGCTGTGACCCATAGACATCTACATCTATCCTCGATAAAGAATCAAAATGCAGATGCGTTGTCACTCGTGAGGACTAATATGGAATGCCTCTTTTCCAGTAAAAAGTCTCCGGTTCTCTGCACTCACCACATGAAACACAGCAGTGTTAAGATGCTATTTTACGCTGGTATTCTTTGAGAGCGTGGTCCTTCCCCAGTCGAGCCGACCCATTCCTGCTACAACTATACTACTAACATAGCTGCAGCATGGCTCTATCACGAAAAAAAAACTTTATTATGTAACAAAATTAACTAAATTTCTAAACAATACTATATAATTTATCAGGAAGGAATATTGGACCTGTGCCGACAAATTGAAAAATGCATTGAATTATACGAGTAATCATAATATACTATTATCTTTTGTTACTATTTATATAATGCACCGCCTTAATAAATAATTTAAGTACTCCGTACATTAACATTCAATTATTATTCGTCTAGTTTTCTTGAACTCAAATCCCGGGTCAGATCGAAATCAGTGTTCAGGATTTCATTGTCATAAGCAGCTCTGAGCCAGGAAATTGTGGACTTTAGTGGACGAATATTTGGCATGGCTTGTAATGGCAGGTGGTTTTTTAGTGGTTTAGTAGAATTCAGTTTCAATGAGTGTAAAGATGATCACTCAACCATTAAGCCACTTACATGTTTTGAAATATATTTCTACTTCATTTATGAACCATTTACGTATACTGTGTAGGCAGCACTGATTCGTCCGTCAAGCGACGTCAGATGATCCAACCCGGTGGCGCTACACTATTCGCTGAGATTCCTCGTAGGATATTTTAGTAGTAGTTTACTAAATTCAATATCGTATTCTACTTCAGTTTCTCTGACTACCGTCCCATATCTCTCATTCCATTCCTTTCAAAAGTTTTTGAGCGCAATTGAGCCTCTTCCGAATCCAATTTCCTTAGTCAAGATTCCGAGGATATTCGTCTTGGTATGGCTTTCTGATAACAACTGTTCAGTGATGTCTCAGTGATCGCGAGGGTGAAAACCGGCAGCGATCACCGAATTGTTAGAGGCACACTGAACCTAAACGTTAAGTTGGAGAGGTCTCGTCTAATGAAGTCAACGCTCCGTCCCCCTCGTGCTCTAATCCAAAGTCCCGAAACCTTTCAGCTCGAGTTACAAAACCGTTTTCAGTGCCTAGAAGACTGCAATGAAGTGGACAATATGAATGACAAGCTCGTGGAAACTGTCCATGCGGTCGGAGCTAAGTTCTGCAAGACCCGCCGCAGAAGAACACAAAAACTCTCCGATCACACTCTTAATCTCATGGTTGTTAGACGGGAGATGAAGCTACATTCTTCAACAGATTTGACAGTATACAGGCAACTGAACAGACAGATCTCCAAATGCATGCGGCGGGACTTACGCAACTTCAATACAGCTCGTATTGAAGAAGCGATCGAGCGGAACCAAGACTCCAAAGTCTTTGCCAGAGATCTGTCTGCCAGAAAGAGCCAACTGTCAAAGCTGAAGATAGAGTGTGGCAGCATCGTTTCCGGGGCACCTGAGATTTTGAGTGAGATTGAGAGGTTCTATGGGCAGCTGTACACGTCATCGTTGGAGCCACACGCGAGTGTGAGTAACGATCCAAGAGCGAGTCTCATCCGACATTATTCCGATAATATCCCGAACGTCAGTCAGAGCGAGATTAGAATGGCTCTCCAGCACCTTAAAAACGGCAATGCCCCAGGCGAGGATGGAATTACAGCGGAGCTTCTGAAAGCGGGTGGAAAACCGGTACGGTTGAAGTCCTTCAGAAGCTCTTTAATTCCGTCCTCCATGGTGGCATTACACCGGAGGCGTGGAGCAGAAGTGCGGTGGTCTTGTTCTTCAAGAAAGGCGAGAACGCTCTCTTGAAGAACTACAGACCGATTTCCCTTCTGAGCCGCGTCTACGTGCTGTTTTCGAGAGTCATTACGAATCGTCTCGCGCGCAGACTTGACGACTTCCAGTCTCCCGAACAAGTCGGTTTCCGAAAAGGCTTTAGCACCATAGACCACATACATACCCTTCGGCAAATTGTACAGAAGTCAGAGGAGTACAATTTACTACTATGTCTGGCGTATGTGGACTATGAGAAAGCCTTTGATTCCGTTGAAATTTGGGCGGTGCTGCAGTCCCTTCAGCGGTGCCAAGTTGACTGTCGGTATATCGAAGTGTTGAAGTGCTTGTACAGTAGGGCTACGATGGCTATCCGAGTACAGAACCAGAGTACGAAACCTATCCAAGGTGTAAGACAGGGTGACGTCATATCCCCGAAACTCTTCACCGCTGCATTGGAAGACGTTTTCAAGCTTCTGGACTGGAAAGGATACGGTATCAACATCAATGGCGAGTACATCACTCACCTTCGATTTGCCAACGATATAGTCCTTATGGCAGAATCGATGGAGGACCTAAGCCCTATGCTCAATGACCTCAATAGTGCTTCACAACGGATAGGTCTTAAGATGAACATGGACGAAACAAAGATCATGTTTAATGTCCATGTCACACCTATGCCGGTAGTTGTTGGGAGCACTAAGCTCGAAGTTGTTGACGAGTATGTTTACCAGGGACAAATAGTCCGATTAGGTAAGTCCAACTTCGACCGAGAGGTCAATCGACGGATTCAACTCGGTTGGGCAGCGTTCGGGAAATTACGGCACATCTTCTCGTCAGGTATACCTCAAAACTTGAAAACGAGACTGTACAACCAGTGCGTGTTGCCAGTGACGACATGCGGAACTGAGACGTGGTCCTACACTGCTGGCCGGATAAGGAAGCTCAAAGTCGCTCAGCGAGCTATGGAGAGGGCTATGCTTGGAGTTTCTCTGCGTGATAAACTCAGAAATGAGGATATCCGCAGTAGAACCAGAGTGACCGACATAGCCCAACGGATTAGTAAGCTGAAGTGGCAATGGGCCGACCATATAGCTCGAAGAACCGACAACCGATGGGGAAAAAAGGTTCTCGAGTGGCAGCCTCGTATCGGCAGGCGAAGTGTTGGGCGTCCCCCCACTAGATGGAGTGACGACCTGGTAAGATATGCAGGAAGTCGATGGATGCAGGTGGCTCAAGACCGTGTATTGTGGCATTCCTTGGGGGAGGCCTATGTTCAGCAGTGGATTTGGCTGTAATGATGATGATGATGATGGCTTTCTTGATTTTAGCAATGAATTTAACAATGTCAATTTCGATCTCCTGTTAGCTATCATAGCTTCTCTTAACATATTTCCTGAAGAGATTGACTGGTTTGATAGTTATCTGTTTAGTCGCCGGCAACGGACACGTGTTGATGATTCGTTCTCCACCTGGTGTACGATCGATGCCGGTGCACCGCAAGGTGGCGTGTTGCCTCCTCTCCTCTTTTCAATTTTCATAATTTCGATTACGCTCCAATTATCTTCTCACTGCCACCTATATGCAGATGATCTCCAAGTATGTGTGCATGCTAAATTGGTGGATTTACCCAAAACTATAGGTTTATTAAACAAACATCTTAACCGTGGATAGGAGTAAGTCATATAGTCTTAAGCAAACCCATCACAAACAACAGCAATAATAAATAGGCATTCTCATAGAAGCGTTCACTGCTGGTTTCTGTCGGTTCTCATCGGGCGGCAAGGGTCGCGTCGTTCGCGCGTCTAGCTGTGTGTTGAAATATTTTAATTTCTCAATATCTCTAAAACTATGTGTCCAAATAACATGCTAAAAAAAGCAAAGTTTATCTTTATAAAATTGTTTTGATGATGAAGTAACTTTCGTTCCTAAGGATAATAATGCCTTGCCTAATAATATATTGCTCATTTATCACTTTTTAATTTTCAATAATTTTTTGTCACAAAATATCTTATTGTGGTTTATGTATAAGAAAGAAATAGGCATATACCATATGCCTGTTTCGGATTTACGGACTTTTTCTAGATGGATTTCGACTGTATGTTTTTTTTATGACTTTTTCATAACTTTTTTCTGGGTGAACCGATTTCGATGATTCTTTTTTTATTTGAAAGCTGGTGATTCTCATGTGAACTCATATAAATTCATTTCATTCGCTGATCAAGGTCTGACCAAGAGTTTTCGAGTTATTCTTAATAATTTATATTGAAGTCGAATGTATAAAAATTTTAATTTCAAATTATTGTAGAACCATTTCGCTAGCGCACGCGGATAAATCATATCGGGAGCGCTTTTTCTTCAGACTTACTTAATAAAAATCAATATTTAAGGCTATACTAGTTCTCATAAATCTAGTTATAATATACAAAAATAAGTTTTCAAATCCGACGGGTACTTCTAGAGATGAGCATTAGTAAACAAACAAACAAAAAAGGTCCCGTGTTTAAAAGTAACAGCTTTTGTTGACGTGGAAGTTATTTTTATCTTTTAAATTTTTGAAGTCGCGTTTTACTTTTTATTAAAAGTTGAATTGTTTTGGTCCTTTTGAGTGTACTGAGCAATTTCAAATGCTCAAGGTGACTAGAATGTCGTTTGAACAATAAAAACTTTATCCCTTATTTTCCAATCCTTAGAGGTGGAATGTTTTCTTCAAATTTAAATGGGGCCTTAAGGTATAGCATATTTAGTAAAAAATGAATCAGTTCAGCAGTGAATTGCAATTGTATTTTTTATTTCAGAACTTGTGCACTCAGTAAAATGTATCTGTTATTAAGAAGCAAAAAGGACAAACGGCCGAATGAAAGACTCGTAGAAGCTTTAAAAGATCCGGTGAGTAAAGAACAAGGAAAGAGAGACAGAACGCTATATTCATTTCAAGTGATGCGGAAACCATGCTCAACTTCTAGATATGCGTGAGTGCGTGTTAAGAAGTTGCATTTTTCTTTTTTTTTCTTTCCATAAAATTCACTTTTGGGCGCACATGTACCTTAAACCATGTCGTTGATTGCAAATGATTTTAGATACATGGTTTTGGCTTGATTTTTGTGACACAAATATGCGCTGCTGTCCATCTTTGCTTCTTTGTTAGTTTGAGGTAAAATCTGATAAAAAGAAATATATACATTAGAACATAGATAGGTCTACAGATATTACACCTATAAAATAATAGCTGCCCTATTTCGCAGATTGTCCGCATAGCCAATAGACCCTCTCGGTAGAATGGCTAAATATAATGCGGAAATTGCGGCTGCATCGCGTTTAGGTGATGGAGGAAATTTCGTGCTTCTTTCATCATCATCACTCATCAGAAGTCTACGTCTGAACATATAGATCTTGAAAAACTGATAAAAGAATGTGCATTTTTACTGTCTTCTGTACACGGATTTTGTTTATTTGTTATATCGATGGATGACTCTGTGTTTAGCTATACGAGTAGATAGATGGGTCGATTTTCAATCGTCAGATAAAAGTTATTCATAGAATGAAATACAACATTAACAAATTAAGAATAACGGCCGTATCAATAAAATAGTTTACTTATTTCACTTTTATGTTCAGTCAGGTTATAATTTATTAGATGAATGACTTTTCACTGACGATTGAAAAAATCGATCCTCGGCTATTTAACTTATCGAGACAATTTTTTTCAGTTATTCGACGAGCTACGCAAGGAGAAACCAAATTTTGCGGACAAAATATCTGTAATACAAGGAGACGTCAGCGAAATCAGATTGGGAATGAGTGATGAAGATTGGAATACACTCAGCAATCAAGTTGGTTTTCATTTTAAAATACTATCGATTCTTTTATACGCCATGAGATTATTAGCATAGAATGATTTACACATAAACACTCACGCCTACACCAAGAGGGGTAGGCAAAGACTACGGAGTGAAATTTGGCACGGTCCTTACACACCTCTCTCGCCCCTTTACATCCTATATGGATGTATACATGCTCGTCGGTTAAGTGTATTGTTAATTTGACCCATCATCTGTATATCGCCAATTTGGGCGATTAACTTCCGTCTAGACCTCTCACTTGTATAACATAATCAAAACACCGAAGCATTCTTTACTTATTACGATTTACTTAATGAGTTACGCGGAAACACACGTAGAATAATTTTTTTACGATCTTTTAACAATTTTTTCAACTTTTAATTACAATGCTTTGCAGCACGCATGAAATCATGCCTATACATAATAACGTGAATACTTACATATACGTGGTAGAGCCAGCTATATTTATTGTATAGTTGCAGCACGAATGGGTCGGCCCGACACACAATACCAGCGTAAAATAGCAGCTTAATGCTGCTGCGTTTCCTATGGTGAGTGTAGAGAACTGACTGAGACCCTTTTCATTGGAAACGTAATATAAACTTATTCTATCTTAGTCCTCATGGGTGACAACGCATCTGCATTTTGATTCTTAATTGAGGATAAATTTAGATTATGGACCACATCATCCACTTACCATCAGGTGAACTGTGTGGTCATTTTTCACCCTTATTCAATAAAAAAAAGACTCTGTCTTTCTCTCTATCTACCTCTCTCTGTCTATTGTGAACTTTGTTGTTTCTATTTTCTGTGTATCATTTTTGTAAATTATGTAAATTACACATTTTAATACAAATTCAAAGATTAAATATAAAATTAGTTTACTGATTTATGCCCTGTCTGAGACTTAATTGATTTTTCTGACCCTTGACCTTTGACTCTTCATACTAGCTATGTATGTAAGTTTTGCGCAAAAATTTGTGGCGTAGTTTTTATTATAATTAAATTTATAAGTATATAATTTAAAAAGGATATATACTTTAAATAACTGGAATAGAGGCATTCCATCTTAGTCCTCACGGCTGACAACGCATCTGCATTTTGATTCGTAAACGAGGATAGATGTAGATGTCTATGGGCCACAGCAACCACTAACAATCAGGTGGACTGTGTGCTCGCATGTCACCCTTATCCCATAAAAAAGCAAACACGAGTTCAGCCCACATCTAGGCTTATAAACAAGAACCCTTCACATATATTGTTGGTAAGACAACTACGATGCGAATCAAACTGAGAAACAAACCCATGCGATCGTCTTCAAAATATAATTTATATTTTAATTCTATCAATTGAAACAGTATGACAAACTTAGTTTAATTTTTACTCAGAGTAAGAAAGAGAGAGAAATTTTTATGTTATTTAAGAATATCATAATAAATGTCATAACAAGGAGCTTTAAAACTTCTTTATTATTACGCTACAAACGTGTCTCTATATGAAATGAGAATCATAAAAATGGCGGATAGCGTTCACGAGTGTTGCTCATTGAAAATAATTCTAAAAAATAAAATTAACAATAACAGATCTAATACTATCATAAATAGAGTATACGTTTTCTGATAAAAATTATGGCTTCAAACGAGCTTACAATTAACGTAATAGTAAGTACTGTGGCCAATACGCACCGAAATCTACCCTTGCGTTGTCATCCCTCAGGAAATATTAACTTTATTTCTAACATGTATTTGCTTGATACCAGTAAAAAGGGTTTCCATGTGAAACTTATTAACATTATTATGTTATTTTACATTGGTATTCTGCGAGTAATTCCCCGGTTGAGTTGGCCCATTAGTGCACTTGCCATAGTAGCTAACATGGTTCCGTCAGACGTGTTCTTTCTTTATTTATAAAACCATACATTTGGATTTTCTCCCATTTCTCCATGGATGCGTTTTGAAAGATATTGCATATAGCCAATCATCCAGTTCCGTACCAATTATTGGTACAAATATTCATATAAATATTTATTTGTACTGTCCGGGAATTTAAGCCGCGCCTACGCAACGGCGTAGCCAAATACTAACTGCGCTACCGAACCTTCTTTAACTGAGGAACAGTCTGGTGACAGTAACACACTTTTAAAAAAGATATCAATACTGATGCCGTCTTTTTTACAGGTGCACGTCATTTTCCATATTGCAGCGACCGTCAAATTCGATGAACAGATAAAAACTGCGTTGCTAATTAACGCACGCGGCACCCGAGAAGCTTTGCGTCTAGCCACTGACTGTAAGGACCTCCGATCATTCGTCTACGTGTCCACAGCATACACACACGCAACTTGCGACCGTATTGGTACGTCGGTACTAGAACGGTTCAATGAAAGTCCAGCGCCGGCTAATGCAATGATACAAATGGCCGAGACCATGTCTCATGAGAAGTTGGATGCTATGACACCATCGTAAGTCACCGATAAAATAATAAGTCATTATAGTTGTTTAATACAGCCACAAAACAGTCAACCACAACTCCCGTTAGAGTTATTATGTAACTCGTTGAACTGGATGTATGCAGGTGACTCAGGATCGTGCTTTATGTCAATATATGGGAGAGGGCTATGTTCAGCGGTAGACATATAAAAGTTACAGCCTATATACGTCCCACTGCTGGGTACAGGCCTCCTCTCAATTGTGAGAGGGTTTTAGGACAAGGAAATGTCCGCCGCGCTGCCAAAATGCGTGTTGACGAACTTCACATGTCTTCGAAATATTTTTTTTTCAACACGTCACACGTCAACACTTGAAATTGCAATTAAGTACTTCATTGGTGCCGGCGGGGATCGAACTTCGCGTACTGTTAAATTTACAGAAAGCGTTTAGCTACCGCGGCTTTCGTAGACATATTATACTACGATTATAATAATATAAAAAGTACTTATAACCTAAAATTTGAGATTAATACAGATTGTCAGGTTGATATGAAATCGAACAACAAATTAGTGTGTGCGTGAATTATCGCATAGCCCTGCTCTTGTCGCGTTTGCTACTGACGATAGTGGATTCCATAAATTGTCACAAAGTACACTCCTAAGCAACTTCGATATATCGACTGCTTACATGTCGTCACTCCATCTAGTTGGGGTTTGCCCAACACTGTGCTTAAATAAATAAAAAATAAAGAACTGCGGTTTCAAAATCTTTTGCCAAGCGTAACAACTATGACTTTTTCCCTTTTATGATTGTATTTTTTATTTACACCAGATTACCAGCTGACTTTTTATTGTCGGGAACAAAATTCAACCAGTTTATTTGAAAGTTTGTGAAAATGTTGGGTTAGTAGTTACTCAATAACGCATAAACCTCTAATAAGATTTGGATGCAACTTGGCACACAGATAAACAATGTCTTGGATTAAAACGTGAGAGTCATTTACCACGAGAAATTTTAAGTTATCGCGAGAAAAAGAAACAAAAGTACGTTTCCGTTTCAACACTGGTGGAGATGCGGGTAGACGTTGGACATATATATTTACCACAATATCAGTATAGAAAGCCTGTTTGAATGGTGCTTACTATTGTCATCATTATCATTATCATCATTATAGCCTATGTAAAGTCCACTGCTGAACATAAACATCCGCCTATCCATAGATTGCCTTATAAGGGGTATAGTTGCTACGTTGGGCAGTCGGGTTGGAAACCGCAGTTTATTTTTATTTTTAGATAATATTAGGAAGACGCTGCTGCCTCTTGGTCACCTGGTTTCTTTCCCTCTGTTACCTTTTACGACACCCACGGCATGATATGGGGTACATACTGGATATTCTTTTCACCGCCACTACAATATCAAATAAAAAAATAAAATCTTTGAGACAAATTAAAAATTTATATAAATAAATTATTATTTATTAAGTTTTTTAATTTTATACAGCTTATAATACTTGTAATGAAAACTAAACGATAAAAGCCTGATGTGCAGAATTAAAATTTCATTCTTAAAATTGTTTAGGCTTATCGGCAAGTGGCCCAACACCTACTCATTTTCAAAGGCCGTTTCCGAGGAAATTGTTCGCATAATGGGCGTGAATCTGCCAGTTTGTGTAGTCAGACCAGCAATTGGTAAGAAAGGCAATAAATATTAAATGTCTAAAATTAAAGTAAAATAAAGTTACAGCCTTGTGTTGTTCTTGTCTTATATATATTTATATATTTAATTTATATATCTTCGAAATATTTTTATTCCTCAGACATGCAGCTTTCCTCGTAATGTTTTCCTTGGTGGCTACTGTGATCGAGTTCCAGCTGCTCGTTTACGACGAGCCCCTGAGCTGATACAACGGCTATAATATCAAATGTATTTTATGTAAGACTAGCTGTTCCCCGCGCCGTCGCCCGCGTGTAGTTTAGGGTTTTAGTTATATTGCGCGGAACCCTAACTCTTTTTCTAAAATATAAGTAGCCTAAGTTACTTCTTATAACGTCAGCTATATGCCAGTGTGAGTCCCATCGAAATCGGTTCAGCCGTTTCTGATATTAAACTTGTTTGTTTCTGGAACAAACAGATCGACAAAAATTTAAAAAATTGTGTTTATGTTATAAGTATCGTATATAATTTCATATGCATTTAGTAAAAAGCTGTTACTTTTAACATTACAAACAGACATTTCAATTTTACGACACATCTCCTCGTTAGAAATACCTCAAAACCTTAAACCGAAATTGTACAACCAGTGCGTGTTGCCAGTGATGACTTATGGATCTGAGACGTGGTCCTTCACTGCTGGCCGTATGAGGAAGCTCAAGGTCGCTCAGCAAGCTACGGAGAAGGCTATGCTCGGAGTTTCTCTGCGTGATAAACTTAGAAATGAGGATATCCGCAGTAGAACCACAGTATCCGACATAGCCCAACGGATTAGTAAGCTGAAGTGGCAGTGGGCCGGCCATATAGCTCGAAGAACCGACAACCGATGGGGAAGAAAGGTTCTTGTGTGGTGACCTCGTACCGGTAAGCGAAGTGTAGGGCAACCTCCCATGAGATGGAGTGACGACCTGGTAAGACATGCAGGAAGTCGATGGATGCAGGTGGCTCAGGACCGTGCTTTGTGGCATTCCTTGGGGGAGGCCTATGTTCAGCAGTGGACTTATGAAAGACTGTAATGATGATGATGATGATGATGATGACTTCAATTTTAATTATTTGTATGTATAGGTTAGATATTCAAATGAAATAAACTTTATTTCTGTAACATAAATCATTACATTGAGAGAGTGTAGAAAACCGAAGGCCCTTTATACTGGTAACGAGGCATTTCATCTTAGTCCTCGGGGGAGCCAATGCATTACGATTTTGATTCTTAATCGAGTATAAGTATATGTATTTCTATGGAATACAGAATCCACTTAGAATGAGGCGGACTATGCGCTCGTGTCGGATTGCCGTCGTCCTATCCGCATATGAGAATGAAGGAATAGAGAGTGCACCTGCGCTTGCGTACACATGCGTGCACTATAAACCTGTCCAGCACTGATGGCTACCTTTGTTGAGACTGGTCGCCGTGACCAAAATTCGGTATTGAGGACGTTATTATTTATCATTTTTATAAGGAGTACTAATAACCGAAATCATTCCCTGCAGTGCAGTAGGAGTATGTTGGAGACCATCATAAGTCATCCGCTTGTTACATTTAGTATAAAAATTATGACAAATACTTCCTTGATTTAAGCCTAACCTTTAGCATTATTGATTAGTCTGTAACGAGAAAGAATAGAGTTATCATAATAGTTACTGATTAAATTGTTTCTTTACAGTTATATCTACTTACCGAGATCCCATTCCTGGTTGGCTGGATATGAGCTGTGCATATGGACCAAGCGGTGTATGTACTAATCTTAATGGAAACTAAAATTCAGGGTGGTGGTAACGTATTCAACCTTCATTACGTGGGTGTGGAAGATATGACTATGATATATGCTTGAACGATCTTGTAACCAGAGTATATAATACGATTTTTCTTTATAGAAGTAAGGGTGCCAAACGGGCACGCAGTCTACGTACTAAGTGGAAGCTGAGGCTCATATACACCCACATCAATCACTGATTAAGAATCAAAATGCAGATGCGAAGGCTAAGATGGAATGCTTAGTTATCAGTAAAAAGGGTCTTCGGTTCTCAACACTTACCATACGAAACGCATTATAATGCGAGTGAAATTTTATATATTTATATATAAAAATTTCACTCGCTAGTCAGTGGCGTCGACAAAATGACTTACTCTCAAAGTCCGATCTGATGGTAATCCGACAGGACTGGATAGATATCTGGCACAGGGCAAATGGCTTTTGGTGCATTCCGAGGCACAGGGGTGAAACACCGCCAACTTTCTAACTCCGAACCGCTATTGAGAATTTCTCGACAAGGAAAACCAATAACTGATTATCGCCCGACTCGAGATGCCATGGTCAGCAGTCGCGCTCATGGCCACTAGACCAATGACTACCTCGTTAACAAAAATAATATATTTGTGAATAGAATCAGACGTCACTCTCAAAATTCCGCTCGCGAATACTGCTCGGGGCAAGGGGAGCAATAAGACCAAGTTAAAAAATTGTACAACTGACTTCAATATAAAATAGTTTGGAAAATCCAAAAGTGCACGTCTCATGAGCGTTTCATTTAATTACGATGAAAAAATAAATTGTATTCATGACTTTTAAAATATATTATTTACGTGTTTTAAATTCAGCGTTCTATTATTTTGACAGGTAGTGTCACCTATAGGGAAAAATTTATAATGTTTACCAAAATAAATCGATTACACAAAGTATAAAATCGATATAGGCTGTATGTTACATTTGTTCTTTATCTATCAAGGGTTAAGAAAAAATATGAAAGCGCCTTTAAATTTTTAATAGCAATAAAACGTATAACAGTTGAAATTTTTTTTTTATTAAAAAGCAGCGCGTAGGGCAATGTGGTTAGTATGGAGGCATTTTAAGAACACAAAATTGTTTGACCTTGCCGTGTCGAGAGTAAAGCACTACCTAATAACGCTTCGCGTGATGAGGCGTGCAATAAATCAATTCATAAACATAAACAATAATATGAGAACATCATCAGTGTATTCGAAGTCAATTAAATACGCATTACTAAGGGTAGCTCAAAAAATACTGGTCAGATGTATATGGGACCAAATGAGAAACACCAGTTTTCAAATCAAATGAAAAATAAATTCATTTGATTTGATTCAAAATCGGTTACACTTTGAAAAAAGTTCAGAGGTAATACACATGAAAAAAATACATTCGAATTGAGAACCTCCTTGTTGTTTGAAGTCGTTTAAAAATGATAAACCGTTTTAATTTTAGCACAGATTAAATAATCTTATTTTAGTGTAACGAACGTTCAGTGCATTGACGTCAAGGTAATTGACCAAATATGTAGTATATATAGTAGGTAACTATAGAACGAACCAGTTCCAACTTAATATTTTGTACCTAGTTTTAAATTTATTATACTACATTTTAAACATACACGGCCTTTAACTTCACCTTCAACAACTATACTACAGATATACATAGATATAACTTCCTAAGTCCACCGAAATAGATACAACTAAATTCTACGATATATTTAATGAAAATATATTACACGAACCCAGCATCAGAATCAACTAAGGAGTGATAATCCTTAGTTGATTCTGATGCTGAGTTGTATACATTAAAAACTTTATCAGCCTTTCCACCCTTAGGAGTGAATAATTTTTTTAATTTAAATGGAGTTCCATTTAAATTAAAAAAATAAACCCAGAATTATAATCGAATGTTCGTTACGTTAAAAAGACTTCAACGCGCGCGGTCAAAGCCGTATTCAAGCATAAATGTACAGTCGTTAGACCGTAACTAGTATTATTACCATGGTCCATCACAAGTCCACAGCTGAACATAGGCCTTTCCATAGATTGCCACAAAGTCCGGTTTTGAGCCACCCGCATCCATTGACTGCCTGCGTTTCCATCAGGTCTTCAGTCCATCTAGTGGGTGGTCGCCTAACACTGCACTAACTCCGCATCGAGGGAGGCCCGCATATGAGAACCTTTCTTCCCTATCGGTTCTCGAGCTATATGTCCGGCCCGTGATCACTTCAGCTTACTAATCCCCTGGACTACGTCAGTAGCGTTGTAGCGAACACAAGCACTTTCGTCCGACTGTCCACTGCCCACTTGGCTCCGGTGAAGGGATTGTTGCACCGCCTAAATTTCGACTGTATCAAAGGCTTTCTTATAGGAACTAAGTTATTTCTTTTCTGTCTTGGAGTCTGTCTGGGTCAATACTAGTTTATTTTATATAATACTAGCTGTTCCCTGCGACTTCACCCACGTGTAGGTAATTTAAGGTTTTAATTTTTTTTTGCGCGGAACCCTAATTCTTTTTCTAAAATTAAAGTAGCCTAAGTTACTCCTTATAACATAAGTTATCGGCCAGTGAAAGTCCCTTTAAAAGCGGTCGGTTAAAGATTAGCCGGAACAAACAGACAGACAAAAATGTTAAAAATTGTGTTTTTGTTATAAGTACTGTATATACTTTCATATGCATTATGTCAGAAGTTGTTATTTTGACACTACAAACAGAAACTTATTTTTTTTGCTTATTATAAGCCAATGCTTGACCACAATCCTACCTGGTGGTAAGTGGTGATGCACCACTAGATGGTAAACCACACTGTCTTAGCGTAACAAAAGCCTATTCACTCTTGCCTTGAAGACTCCCAGATTATATTTGGACGGAAAAAGAGACGCCGGCAAATTATTCCACTCCTTTACTATACGCATTACAAAAGACGAAGCGAGTCATTTGGTTCTAATGCGTGGAATATCGACAACAAAGGGGTGAAGACCTACCGACCGTCTGGTTGTCACACTCACCGAAATGCATCCTATAGAATACCGAGAGACTGGCTACTCTGCACCTGTGCTCGAGGCTGACAAAACCAACCAAATCAAGGCCACCAATGAGCCTCTTAGCACGTCTCTCCTCTGAGTTCAACGCTGCCTGGTGGAATTTTGCAGCGCCAGCCCATATGTGACAGCAGTACTCTATTCACGACCGGGCTTGCGCTTTATATAAGATAAAAAGCTGCCCCGGCGTAAAGTACCGCTGCACCCTTGCCAGAACACCAAGTTTCCTTGCTGCTGCTTTGGCTATGGACTCAATGAACCACCCATAGTTGAGGTTCGGAGAAAATTCAAGCCCTAACAACTGAAGGCGGTCAGTGTACAAAAGTAGGAGCCAAAGTGAGCGGGCTCCTTTTAGCGGTGAAAAGACACGCTTGTATTTTGGAGGCGTTGAATTTCATGAGACTGACATCGCCCCATTCGGAGACTGCCTGTAGTGTGAGATTCTCCATAGCTTCTCTTTCGTACTGGATTTGATCCCGACTGGCTCGGGCACTTGGTTGGCATGTCTCCACAACTGTGCTGTCGTCTGTATACCCATTGTTACGGCCCACAGCTGCCCCTGCAAAGGTCGCCTTGGCTAGGGCCCATAGTAGCCTCTTCGACGGGCAGCCGTGAGTACGGGCCCAAATGGCCTTATGGAAAAATGACCTATCATATTACAAAATGAGGAGAAGGCTAGGAAAATAAATGGTACGTACCTGCATCCGAATCTTAGACCGCCCCAAGGCTCGGTCAGGCCGTAGGTAGAGTATATGCATGTAAAGTGGTGTTTAGTGGTGTGTATATGAGGTTGACCTGGCCCAGCTGAGGTGACCTGCCAGCGCGACGGTTTGCATGCTGCCCCACAATGCTGCATCACTCCAGCAGGCGTCCACCATGGACAGTTTCTTTCTTCATTGTCACTATTTCAGTCTATTAACTTTATTGTACATTTAACCAAGTTCAACTCGACCAATTCAACGTTCATCGTAGAGTCGAACACATTATACCCGACACAGTAACGGACAGTAGTTTAAAGTTCAACATTCAATGTCCCGGACTCATTTATCACCAAATTACAAATAGGGAACTAACGCGATCTCTTCATGAGTCACACGGTTCAGCGTTACAAACACAACTAAGTTCCTTCGTTCGATATTAAACACCACGCCGCAATAAGAATTCAAAATTAACTTTAATCAGTCAAACACAATACAAGCCTCTTGTCAAGAACTTAAAACCTAGACAACCTAAACAGAGGCGGTTTTCACAAAACCCCAATTATGTAGCGAAGTAACACGCACTAAATCTAGCAATCTAGACCGTACACATGGCGCGCGAAACTTCTGCAGCGATAACCGAGATACGCGGATTAATCGCACCGCTGCCAGCGAGCTACTGTTAACTACTACCTCAGCTCCTGCGTTGAGCGACTGCACGCGGCACGTGGCCGCCTCCCTCCGCCGTTGGCATTACCTCACCTCGACACCGTCGGGTGACGCGCCAGCTCGAACGCGATTGGATGGCGTTCAAAATGACCAATTTTGGGTATAAACACCCATAGATACTGGGAATGGGCAGATCATTTATACGCAGCAGGAAGAGAGTTGAGAGAACAGACCCCTGAGGAACTCCGGCGTTTGTCGCGATAGGACAGGACGACGCCATCGATGACGACTCGGAGAAATCGTTCAGTCAATCAGGCCAGGGGATAAACCGTATGCTGAAAGCTTGCCCAATATTATGTATTTGTATAGATAGATTTTTTAATATATATTTTATATAAAAATAAACTCTTACGTACGTCTATTATCAAGCGGCAGTAGATACAGTTAAAGTTACAGGCTGCATTTTGCATTTTTGCATTTTCATTTAAATCTCAGCCCACAGGGGCAACAATGTATTTAAAATCAATGAATTTAAAATTCGTTGTTTGAAATGAACATAGATATATTACACCAATGTATCATATTATAAAAAGAAAATGTAGAAGTTCCACGCTCCGTCGCTTCTATATGTGTGCTGACTAGGTGACTTAGGTGTGTTCAAAAACCTTGATCGTAGTCATCTGTGAAAACACCAATATTTATTATACTGATGTTACTTTTAGATGATAATAGGGACAGCCCTCGGCATCTCACATATAACGTACGGCGACAAAAATATTAAACTGGATATAGTGCCAGCCGACATGGTGAACAACGCGACTATTGTTGCCGCGTATGAGACTGCCAGAAGACAGGATATAAAGACGACAAAGATTTACACTGTGAGCAGCTCCAGAAATCCCATTTTATTTGGTAAAGCTTTTATAAAATATTTTTTCTTCATACTAGAACTAATAATTAATTATTTATTGTATCTACCGGCTATCGCCGATGTTCAATCTTGGAATATTACTAGTTGTCTGGAAGAAAGTGCTGCCAGCAATAAGACCGCCCGTTGCTTTATTTTTTTGTATACATATTCTTTGTATGATATTGTCATGGTATGCAATAAAGAATATTAAATAATAAAAAGGTAAAAGCGTAAATAAAAAGGTTTAAAACCGCATTTATTACCATTACCACCACCATTTATATGAACGTGTAACATTATAAGTTCCGAACTTTATAGAGCATATAGTTTTAAGTACGGAAGGCAAAAGGAACATCTCACTATTTAAATATAATGTTCTAAAAGAACATTAAAATTATTTATTGTTGGAAATAATTTTTCGTTAAATTCGAATTGTAATTAAAATTAACTCTTAAAGAGTATAGTAACTACCAAAAGGAGCTCTCTCTGCTTGTTATCTTCAACTGTAAAACGTGTGCTCTAATATTTGAATTAGGTTTAAATCAATGACGACCATTCCATTAAATGTTATTTCATGTCTAATGTCTATGCCATGTTATCACGTACACTTTAATATAAAAGCTATTTACTACCCATTTTGTTTCCAGGTGAGCTAACGAATAACCTTGTAAATGCAGGGAAAAAAGTTGCCACAACGAAAGCTGTGTGGTACTGTTTCACTAACGATGTTAAACATAAGTTTCTATATATTTTGTTGAGTTGGTTCCTACACTTCATTCCTGCATACATTGTAGATGGTGTGTGTCTGTTAATCGGAAAGCCTCGCATGTGAGTATTTAAACATCATTCATTTTGATATTAATGTTATGGTCAATATTGACTACGGTGACATATTCCTAATGAGGACGGAAGTTATCAACTGGATAGGATATATATTTATTTAAAGTAAGTATTCTACTAACGGTCGTGTAGTGACAGCGTATAAACATAAATTCTATATCGTCCAGTGGGTATTGATAGAGGTAGTGTGAATTGCGAAAAATCTCTCATAACTTCCGATAGGTGCGGTATAACTAAGTTACGTCGTGAACGCAATCTGTACGTAAGGTGCGAGTTGTCTGATTCTGGCGACGGTAAATCCGGTCGAAAGTGGTGATTAAGGCATTTCCTTCGTACAAAGAGGCGAATGTCCTACAATGGTCTTTTTTGGGCTGATGAAAATTCTCACTGTAACTTATCTGAATGAACGCGTAAAATTCAAATACCTGGGTTTTTGTTGTTACGATCATAATATAAGCTCAAAGGGAAACTTAGATACAGTTTCAGAACCATAAGTTTAATTTTTTCTCCGATTTCTTTTGTAACAATAGCAATGGCTCTTTAATCGAACCTCAAAATAACAATCTACACGCATTGTTCATCACATTGTTACTATGATTTTCTTTCTTTGAATATCGTTTTATTTAATTATTGCATTACTGTGTATAAATAATAGGTAAAGATGACATAATATAAAAGTTACTATTGCTTCGTTGCGAGTGCAGTTAGTAGATTTACAATTAATTCATAAGATAAAATTTAACAGTGGTAGAGTCACGCGGCAGCTTTTGCTGTCGCACGGATGGGCCGGCTCGAACCGGGGTAGTACCACGACCTCACAGAAAACCAGCGTGAAGTAGAGGTTTACCTCTGCGTTTCGCTTGGTTAGTGCAGGTGGCCGGAGGCCCTTTTTACTGGAAATGAGGCATTCCATCTTAGTCCTCACGGGTGACAACGCATCTACATTTTGATTTGTAATAGAGGATAGATGTAGATGTCTATGGGCCGCAGCAACCAATTACCATCAGGTGGACTGTGTGCTCGTTTGTCACCCTTATTCTATAAAAAAAAATATTTAAAAAAATATTTTTATTCTGTACGAAGTGGTACCCGGCACGTTATTACCGCAGAAGAAATAATTGTGAAAATATTGTTTTAAATGTGGAAGAGTGATATTGTTTAATTAGGAATGATAATGATGATGATATTATATAATTTTCAAATGAATTTGTTTGTAAGATACCCGCGCCACTTACTTTAATGCCTATAACCTTTGCGCAAGTGCAAGCAATAAGTTAACAAAGTTTCAGTGCAATCTGATGAACGGTATGGCAGCACATAAAATACGAACAAACAAACATTAATTTTTATACATGTATGTATAATATTAGATTTATTAGAATTAAATACAGAATAAAATAATTGTCTTGTTTATGTGATAAGCCTATGAAATTGTAGACCTTAACAAGTCGACGGGTTAATATACTGTAATAATTTCTTCTTCAGCAGCCGGTAAAATCCCACTGGTGAACATGGCCTGTTTTACTACAGAAAGACGCTTGACAGGCAGGTTGGCGGTTGCAACATCTCGTTTGACGCAGTTCCCCGTAGCCGGTCTGAGTATCTATACACGATACAAATAAATAAAATTGAAGTGTCTGTTTGTAATGTAAAAATAACAGCTTTTTACTAAAGACATATGAAATCGATACAAATGAATAAAATTGAAGTGTCCACGTGTAATGTTAAAATAACAGCTTTTTACTAAATGCATATGAAAGTACGAATATATACGGTACTTATAACAAAATAACATTTTTTTAAATGTTTGTCTGTCTGCTTGTTTGTTCCGGCTAATCCCCGAAATGGCTTGACCGATTTTGATAGGACTTTCACTGGCAGATAGCTGATGTTATAAGTAGTAACATAGCCTACTTTCGTTTTAGAAAAAGAAAGGACCACGCTCTTACAGAATATCAGCGTAAAATAGCAGCTTAATGTTAAATGTTTCGTTTGGTAGAGAATTGAATACTGTTTTAACTAGAAACGAGGAATTCCATCTTGGTTTAGGGGTGACAACGCATCTCCATTTTGATTATTTACCAAGGATAGATGTGGATGTCCATAAACCACAATATCTACTTTTTTATAGAATAAGGGTGACAAACGAGCACATAGTCCAACAAATGTTAAGTGGTTGCTGTGGCCCATAGACATCTACATCTATCTTCGTTTGCGAATTAAAATGCAGGTGCGTTGTCAACCTTGAGGACTAAGATGGAATGCCTCTTTTAGTAAAAAGGGTCTCCGGTTCTCTACACTCACCATACGAAACACAGCAGCATTAAGCTGCTATTTACGCTTGTATTCTGTGAGAGCGTGGTACTTCCCCGGTCGAGCCGACCCATTTGTGCTACAACTATACTATTAATATAGCTGCAGCATGGCTCTACCACGTATAAATCACTTAACATCATATGGACTGTGTGTGCGGTTGTCACGCTTAATCTATAAAAGAGCCATAAAATTTTGTTCCTATTTCCCATAATCATCCCTTACGACATCCGTAGGAAGAAATGGTTGATGGCTTTCCAAGACTACCGTCACATGACAGATTGTTTAATATTGATATGTATTAATTTTTCACAGGTTCGTGAAGATTTATAAAAAAGTGAAAAAAATGGGTTTAGCACTTGGTTACTTTACAACGCGCGACTGGATTTTCAAAGACGACAATTTGCGTGAATTGTACCAAAGTATTTCACCAATTGACCAGCAAATATTTAACTTTGATATAATGTCAATAGACTGGAAAGAGAATTCGAGCTTTTGGGCTGCTGGCTCATTGAGGTATCTCCTTAAAGACGACCTCAAAAACAATGACCGTGCGTTAAGGAAACAATCGATGTTCAGAATTTTACATTACATTGTATCAGTACTATATCTATTCGTTCTATGGAAATTATTTAAACTTTGTATCGATACACTATTAAATATGTTACTGTGAATCTTTCGTACAGAAAAATATTATTAAATTATATTATTGGATTGTTTCTTTCATTTATACCAGTTTTAAAAAAGCTAAAACAGAGTAGGATTTGAAAACCGATTCCAAAATTAATGTTTTTACGGTTCTTCATTGTTTACATTTCGATAATAATAGAGCCGTCTCTTAATAAAGAAGCTATAAAATTGCATCGCAAAATCTCAGTCATCTCTTACGACATTCGAAACTGTCTGCTGGATTCACCTAGGTCAGGGGTCTTCGGATGTGAAGCTGCGGCTCTTTAGTTTCATACGCAAATATTATTTATTTTATTGAAAAAAAAAACATTTAAAATCGATTTACACCGAGCCATTTGGTGTTGATACTGGATCTCTAGAAATGCAATTGATCAATTTAAAAAGTAAAGCTTTGTGGAGTTGAAAATTTACAGAGTTGAAAAGCAAGTTGAAAGAGTTCAGAAATGTACGTAACGTAACAAAAATGAATTAAAAGAAATGCCGCAAGTTGAGGCACTTATATTCGGTGCATGGAATAGTCTTCCAGATTGCTATAGTGAGGTGAAGAAGTTGGCATTTAGAGTGCTGACTATCTTCGAATCGACATATTTGTGCGAGCAAGCGTTCTCTTGCATGAATATAATTAAAAGTAAAGTAAGAAGCCCGATGAAAATTCAGAGTCGTGTTTGAAACTTAAAACAACAAGTTATGAACCAAATTTATCCAAAATTTCTAAAACCATGCAAAGCCAACGCACCCATTGAATTTGTTTGCATAATTGTATGTTATTTTTTTATTTTTAAGTAACAGTTACATTGTTTAGTAAAGTTTAAATTTTCTACTTGAAAAACCATACAAAGCCAAAGCTTGACTTACAATGTATATATATATATATATATATATATATATATATGTAATGAGATGATTGACATTTCATTAATTTGAATTTGCTGCGCTTCGCGTATCTATCTAGTTTGTGGAAGATCGTAGAGGGCGCATCGAAGTGAAGTGTGAACTATGATTCAGTGGCGAATGACGTTTAGATTATTTTGTGCACTTTATTGTTATGAAAACTTGTGGAGAGATAAACTGAAGGATACGATTGAAGAAGCTATATTAGTGAACTTTAAATGTCGTTTCTTTGTATTTTCAGATGAGGATAGAAGTGTAATTGTTATAACTTGATAATTGTTGTAATATTGTAAAGTCGTGTTAAATAAAACAAAACTTTGTGTTTTCAGAGAAACAATTTGTGGTTTATTTTAAAGATCCTCAATAATATACCTTATAAAACGACATTTTTGTTAAATAAGAGAAGATGGACCGGCTGCAATTTGAGTTTACGATGATAGCCTCAAATGACGGCAAATCTAATGTACTAGCCATAACCTCAAAATCTACAGAAGAAGGAAAATGTTATGTTTTACCCGAGGAGCTGAAGTCATCGTACATATATTGTTAAAATGAACACTTTCACAAAAGTAAAAAATAGCATAAAGAAAAGACACCAAAGTAGAAAAGTATGGATAAAATTGGAAGAAAATCTAAAGAAGACATATGTAGATGAGGAAGGTAATATGCAATTTTCAAATCAATATTTAGAGGAAATAAGCACAAAACAAGCAAGAGACAAAGATGACAGTTTGCAACATATCTTGGAACAATTAATAGAAACTACAACTAAGAAAGAAAGTCAACAAAACTTAAAATATTTTTCAGAAAAAAAAATTATTGAAAAATTCACTAGCAAGAATCCTAATGCGATGCAATGGATAGAGATTTTTGAAAAAGAGTGTGCGCGCTTCAATATAACAAAAGATTAAAAGTTAAACAAAGTATTCAATGAAACAAAAATAGATATATTGAGGTTATTTTTAGATAAACCTTGTTTGGATTGGTATAGCTCGATGATCATAAAACTAACAAAAATAAGTAAATTCTGAATGGAGTGAATGGAAAGACAAATTTTTAGTAACTTTTGAAAACCGAGGATGGGACATAGTCGCATATGCTCTCGCATTTAGGTATAAAGAAGGACTGTTAATTGATTATGCCATAAAGAAAGAACGACTTATATTAGATATAAACAAATCTATAGATTCCAAAACAATGATAGATCTTATTGCAACTGGTTTACCTGGATTTATCTTAAATAAGTTAAACAGGGACGAACTCAACAACACTACTGATTTGTTCAACGAGACAAGAAAATATGAAGGTATGATGTACAAGAAAAACTTAACTAACATAAAGAGTGGTATATTTTATAATAAAAATAAAACTAATGAGAAGAAGCCATGTAAGACTTGTGAATCTTTGGACAAAGGAATTAGATATCATCCGGAGGAGTCATTTTTTTTTATAGGATAGGGTGACAAACGAGCACACAGTCCACCTGATGGTAAGTGGTAGCTGTGGCCCATAGACATCTACATCTATCCTCGTTTGCGAATCAAAATGAAGATGCGTTGTCACCCGTGAGGACTAAGGTGGAATGCCTCTTTTCCAGTAAAAAGGGCCTACGGCTACTTGCACTCACCGAGCGAAACGCAGAGGTAAACCTCTACTTCACGCTGGTATTCTGTGAGGTCGTGGTACCACCCCGGTTTGAGCCGGCCCATCCGTGCGACAGCAAAAGCTGCCGCGTGGCTCTACCACTGTTGGTTCAAGAAAAATAAAAATGAACTTGAAAAGGTTCTTATAACTAAAAATGTAAATAATAACTCCATCATTAAAGTAGACATAAATGCTGGTAAAAAAAAAACTAGTAAGGACACCATTAATCAAAATCAAGCTTTTATTAGAAAATAAACTAGAAGTGAGCGGCATTTATGATGCAGGCTCACAGATTTCTTTAATAAATTCAAGATTGATAAAACTAAAAGAAAAAAAAGATGATGTGAATATAGCATATATGAAAACGGTTAATAGTGTGAAGAAAACGGATAAGGAATTTTCCAACTCATAAGACGCAAAAGAACATCAGATAATTTTTGGGAAAAATAAACTTCTACCATGAATACATACCAAGAAGTGCAATTATCCTAGACCCATTACATAATTTATTGAGAAAAAACGAGAAATTGCGTCTTGGAAATATTCGACAAAAACTTACCCATCCAAATCTTTACCGATGATCTTTGGAGGGCATTGGAGCAATATTGAAACAGACACAACTAGATGGTAAAGACAAACCGGTGGCATATTTCTCAAAAAAACTAAACGAACATCAAAGACGGAAAGAAGCTATATATTTAGAATGTCTTGCTATAAAAGAAGCCATTAAATATTGGCAGCACTGGCTCATTGGAAAACAATTCACTATTTATTCAGACCACAAACCTCTAGAGAACATGAACATTAAATTCAGGACAGATGAAGAATTGGATGATTTCACATATTACCTATCTCAGTATGACTTTACAGTAAAATATATACCTGGTAAATAAAATGTAGAAGCAGACTGTTTGAGCCGAAATCCTGTTCTAGAATCAGAAGATAACAGAGAAGAACTATTGAAAATAGTTAATTTTATACAAATAAAAGATATAGTTGAAGACCAGGAAAAAAATGACACAATAAAAGAAAAGAAACAAAATTTAATACACAAAAATAAAATCTATTATAAAAAAATAAAGAAACAGGAAAAGATTATCCTCTCAGAAGAATTTAGTAAGAAACGTGCATGAAAGTTTATGCCATATTGGGATCAGACAATTGCAGAAGAAAATAAGTCCTATATAAACCTAACAAAAATATTATAAATACTTGTAAAACATGTGAAATATGCATAAAAAATAAATAAAGATGTCCAAAAAATTGGATTAATGTCACAACTGGGACCAGCTACAAAACCATTTGAGATAATGTCAATGGATACTATTGGTGGCTTTGGAGGATCTACATCTACAAAGAAATACCTACATATTTTAGTAGACCACTACACAAGATATGCATTTATTGCAACTTCAAAAACTCAGAATGCAAGTGACTTTATAAATCTAACAAAGATAGTACTAGAGACAGATGAGATTGGAGTTATCCTGACAGATCAATATCCGGGCATTAATTCAAGAGAATTTAAGCAATATTTGTAGGAGAATAATATTAAACTAATTTTTACAGCTGTGAATACACCATTCTCGAACGGCTTGAATGAAAGATTAAATCAAACAATAGTAAATAAAATAAGGTGTAAAATGAATGAGAAAAATAATAAGAGAACATGGACAACACTAGCAAGAGAATGTATACAGAAATATAATGAAACAGAACACTCCGTTAAAGGTTTTGCACCAAAATATTTACTGGATGGTACAAATGTCAGTATTCTACCAAATGAATTTAAAATAATAGAAAAGGAAGACAAGTGGATCGCTGATAGAAGATTGGCATTAGATAATACAATAAAATCCCATGAGTAAAACAAAAAAATATTTGATAGAAATAGAAAAATGCAAGAGTTTAATGTAGGAGAAAGTGTATATGTAAAAAATGGAAATAGACTGAATAGAAAGAAATCAGACGAATTAAGAATAGGCTCTTTCAAGATAATAGAGAAAATATGGAATTCCATTTATAGGCTTGATACAGGCAACAGAAAAACAGAATCAACATTATTTCATATAACAAAATTACAACCTGTCGTGACAGAAGATGAAAGAGAAAAAAACGAATATGAAGATAACTTATAGGTACATTTTATAGATATATTGCTTAGAATTTTCGCTCTTAGGGGGGGAGATGTAATGAAATGAATGACATGAACGCATCGAAGTAACGTGTGAACTATGATTCAATGGCGGATGACGTTTAGATTATTTTGTGCACTTTATTGTTATAAAAACTTGTAGAGAGATAAACTGAAGGATACGATTGAGGATGCTATATTAGTGAACTTTAAATGTCGTTTCTTTGTATTTTCAGGTGAGGATAGAATTATAATTGTCATAACTTGATAATTGTTGTAACATTGTAAAGGCGTGTTAAATAAAACAAAACTTT